ATCTAGAGCCTGCTTTTAATTCCTTCTAGGGGTATTTTTGATGTCAGGTATGGTGTTCTTCATTTCTGAGTAGTTCTTATTCATTGTTTCTGTGTCCTTTTTCATGCTGATGTAATACCCAGTGAGTTTGTTATAGCTCTCATTAAATTTCTTTTAGTTCTCCCTAAGTTGTTTGAGCATCCTTGTAACCATTACTTTGAACTCAATATCTGATAAATTGCTTGCCTCTCTTTCATTCAGTTGTTTTTGTCAAGAATTTTTCTTTTCTTTCAATTGGGTGTTGTTTCTTTGTCACCTCATTTAGCTGTCTCTTTGTGTTTGTTTCTGTATAGCAATTGGAACTGTTATGACCCCGGTTCATTAGATGGCCTCGTGTAGTAAGTATCATGTGGGACTCAGTGGTGCAGTCTCCTTGATCTCCTGACTTGGGTGCTCTAGTAATGACCCTCTCCTGTGGGTTCTGTGGCCCCTCCTGTTGTACTTGGGTCTTGATTGCTGTTGGCCCATCGTGGGTGGGATGGACTATCTGGCTGGCTGGCTTAGGCTTAACCCGACCACGATGAGTAAGCTGCTGTGTAGGTGCAGTCTTGAGGTATCTTGTTGGGCTCAGTGGCACAATATTCCAGGTCACCTGAGCCTTATGCTATAGGAATGTGCCTTGTGGGTTACGTGCGTCCTGTGTTGTATTTGCATCTTGATGAATGCTCTTGGCCGTTTCATGAGTTGAGTTAACCTAATTCTTCAGGTTGGGTGACTATAAGGGTAAACCTTAATCACCGTGTATAAGAATATGTTGTGCAGGGTAGGCCCCCAAGGTGCAATTGATCCTAGCAGAGTCTGGTGCTTGCTGAATTCTTTCTTTGGGTGTGTTGCTTGTGTGGCTGATTGGTTCACTCTCTGGTGTTGTCTGAATCCCACCACTGGTTGTTTCAGCTCTGAGTCCACTTGGGTGGATTTCAGGTACAGATCACTTTCAGACATTGTGTGTAACCTGTTTTGGGCTGCCTGTCTGGAGCTGCCATGCTGTTTACTGTTTGTGTTTACATTTATTGGACCTGGGTGTGCCTGCAAGGGCCAGTTTGTATAGAAAGGTTGGGTTCCTGGAACTTTGAGCTGGGGTCAGATCGATACAAGATCAAGGCTCCCTGAGGTTGGTGTCCACCTTTTGGCTATTCCGTTCCCCCTTGATGTTTCCTGGGATTACTCCTGAGTTTTATGCAGGAAGGCTATAGAGTGGGCCCAAGCTGGCCACACCCACTGACTCTCCCACAGGGCTGATGCTTGGTGGTTTGGAGCGACCAGTTTGGGCCAGCATGGTCTGGCACTCAACGGAGAGAATGTGGCCCCTATTCCTGTGCCATATCAATCAGACTCTACCTGAGTCTCCAACTCTGTCTTCCCTGTGAGGAGTGCACCACAGGTTCCGTTTTGGGTATAGCCTGCTGTCCTTACTGCAGGAGAAAGCTTAATAGGACAGGAGGGATTCACTGGGACTTGGGCAATCAGATCAAGAAAGCCTTCTTTTGGTGGGTGGCACCAACTGTGCTGTGAGAGGGAGGCAAGCTGCACTCCTCCCTTTAGTTATGTAGCCACTGCTGCTAAAGCCCTGGACTGCAGCCTCTGAGGTAGATGTGCTCTGAATGTCCTGGCTCTGAGCAGAGCCTCCTTCCCCTCAAAACCGAGCCTAGCCAGATGGAGCCAGCTGGGCTCTCCCTGCTCTCTTCCGTGCTGCAGGACTGAGAGGAACAGATCAGGGCAGCCCTCTGCTTGGGTTGGCACTAGCCCTTTCTAGGGAAGAGAGCTGCTTGCCTCCTTCTATCTCTGCAGTGCCCTTGCCAGAGACCCTGATGCAGGGCTCCGAGGGGGTCATATCAAATGTCCCAGTTCTGAGTTGTGCTCTCTTTCCCCCATGGATATGAGTTCAGCAGGATGGGTCCAGGAGGATTTGGGAATGCAAATCCAATCTGCCCTTTGATTGAGTTGGCACACGCCCTCAGCCCTCGAGAGGGGAGCTAGTTGCTTGCCTTCTAGCTTGGTGGCATCCTGGAGCCAGAGACCCTGAAGGAAGGTCCCGAGGGGTCCTTGCCAGATTTCCCAGTTCTGATCTGTGTCCCCATCCCGCTATGAGTCTGCACTAGGAGGAAGGTGCTGGCAGGGCTTGGAGGAACAGATCAAGGCTGCGCCCTCCGCCTAGGGTGGCACCGGCCCTTGGAGGTATTGAGGGCTGCTTACCTCTTTCTTACTCTGCAACACATGCCAGAGGCCCTGATGGAGGGCTTTGAGGGGGTTGCACCAAATGTCCAAGCTCTGAATTGTGCTCCCTTCCCCCCGTGGATATGAATTTAACAGGGTGGGGCTAGCAGGATTTATGAATGCAGATCCAGGCAGCTCTATGTGGGGTGGTGATGCAGGGCTGGGGGAGCTGCTAGTACATGCCTCCCCTTAGCTCTTCAGCTGCCCATTGTATGAGGTCCTGACCTGGAGGCCTTCCGTTTGAGGTGGCACCTCCCTAACCTTTGGAAGGGGGAAAGATTGGCCCTTGTTCTGAAGCCACTCAGTTCAGTGATTATCTAAGAGTCTGTCTATAATTTCTCCAGACAAAAGAGTGCATCTCCGGTCCCTTTTGGGTACAGCCTACCATCCTTCATGTTGGACTTGAGCTTGGTAAGGTGATGTTGCCAGTATTTGGAGAATGGGGTCAGTGCACTTCCTCCAGCTGGCACTGTAAGAATAGAAGTACTGGACCCTGGGAAATGGCGCCTGAGGCCCTGTGGAATGTTAGCTCAGGACTAGGACCTCAGAAGCATACCTTTAAGATCTCTAGCGCTGTGCAACCCTGATTTTATGGCTTCTGCATGCCCTGAATCTCCTTCCCTCTACCAGAGCCCCGGGTGAGTGCCTGAGAGCCAGCCCCATTGTGACAGTCCTTAGGAAATCACCAGGGATTCAGGCAGACTCCCTCCTCTTTCCGGTGGACAGAGTCCCCACTTATTTTTGCTGCCAGGTGCTCTGCAGGTTCTTCTTCCTGGGCCTGGTGTTCTGGCTTGGGGTCCTGGCATGGGACTGAGACCCTTCTTTCCTCTGGGGGGCTTTTGCAGCTGCAGTATTTCTCTGGCTACCCCTGGGTGCAGGGACCAGCCCTCCCCACCCTTCCTACCAGTCTCTGTGTAGCTTCTCTTTTCCAATCTTTGATATAATTCTCTGTTCAGGTGTCTTGCTGTTGTTTATTCAGATTGACTGCTCTAAACTTGAGCTGTAACTCAGGTTTGGTGCCAGGAGGGGCGGTGTGTCGCTTGTACCTGCTCTGCGGCCATTTTGCAGTCCCCCCAAATTGATTTTTTAATAATAATGTTAGTTTTATTGACTTCAAGTAATTGTCTAAAAGTACTATGTTTCATGAATTTAATGATAATTTTTTATTGTATTATTTCAGAGAGAATAAGGATAGATGGTCACTGAGATTTTTTTCTACTTTGAAGTCCTTAAATCAAGTAAATTGTAAAAGTTTGTTTTCAAACTTTAATGGATTTCAGATGGGTAGTATTTTGTATTTGTCATAAAGTGGATTTATAGCAGAAAACTTCAATCCAGTTTTGGTTGTTGATGATTTTTGTTAGTGATTTGTTTTTTGTAAAATTACAATAAAAAATGGTTAACAGCTGTGGAAAGAAAAACAGAATCATTAACTACAGGAAATTAATTGCAGTGATTTCAAGAATCATTTCCAGTATTTAAAAAGTTTTGCTGTCTTTTCTTTTTAGAAAAAGATTAACTTAGCAACTCTAAATTCCTCTACTCAGATCACAGCCTGTTTGTTAGATGATTTTAACCTTAGCATTAACCTTACTAATTTAATTATTAATTTTAAGAACCATATTCTTAAAATTTCAGGGAACATTTATTTTACTTATGTTTGTTAGATGATTTTAACCTTAGCATTAACCTTATTAATTTAATTATTAATTTTAAGAACCATATTCTTAAAATTTCAGGGAACATTTATTTTACTTATGTTTTTATAAGTGCCATGATATCACAATTTTATTTTATGATATATTGTAGAAAATCTATTTAAGTAGATTTGGAAAACTACTAGAATATTTGAATTTTAGAATGATTGTCACTGTAATGTATTCTTTTATTTTTAAGGACTTCATAACCTATAATTTTTCTTGTCAGTCAGTAATTGTCCCGTATAATAATTACTCGTGTTTTCGGAATCTTTATGGTTTATAAAGCATTTTCACATACATTTTTATTATTCAATTCTCGTGGCAACATAATTGATCAGGTGACAGTTTCAAAGAGGTGGTGATTTGCCTACGACTATAAACGGAACTGGATTTCTGGTTATGTTCTTCCAACTCAGAGCTCTATATCCCTGGGCTCTTTCTGTTACATCACTATAATTTTGCCAAACAAACATAGCTGTTTTTAGAAGTTAAGTAAATTTCCTATAAAGCAGTTGTTCTCAACCAGCCTCCCCCTGCGCACCCCCTCCCCGCAATTGACAAATGTCTGGAGAAACTGTTGATTGCACAGTGGGCTGGGGTTGCAGGTGCTACTGGCATCCTAATGAGTAGAGACCAGTGAGGTGCCAGACATTCTGCAAAGGACAGGTGCCCCTTTTCCCCCCAGTGTCAGCATTGCCAAAGTTGGGGAGCCTGGCTAGGAAGAACAAGACCTATTTGCCCATTCTTGACCTGGATATCCAGACCTCTTCTTACATACCTGTTTCTACTCCACCCCCCAAATTATTTAAAATATAATTTTTAGGTAGTTTAACATACAGGTGATTATATTTCATAATTTGGAGTATTTCAGTACTGTTATTAAGAATAAGCATTACTGTAGAATAGTCAGGGGGATGTAAAGTACAGCACAGGGAATATAGTCAGTGATATTGTAGTAACCATGTATAGTGTCAGGTGGGTACTGGAAGTAACAGGGCATCACTTTATAAATTATATGATTGTCTAACCACTGTGCTGTACACCTGAAACTAATACAAAACAATATGGAATGTAAACTGTAATTGAAAAATAAAATTTAAATAAAAGAAACCAACAAAAAGAATAAGCATTAATACTGTGCTAAGTATATAAATTAGAGTTTATAAATATATAAACTAGAGTTTTCTGAAAAATGGTTCCTGGGTGGGAGAAGAAAAATTAAGCCGAAGCACAAATGTTTGATTTCAAACCAATATTTTAATGTTTTCCTGATTTTCTAGTTTCACTTATGTTGAATGCCAGTAAAAAATACATAAAGCACTCTTAAGTTTTATTTAGAGCTTCTAGTTTCTGTGTGTTTTATTTAATGCTCTGCCTATTTAGTTATACCAGGTGTGTTTTTCAGAATTATCCAGTCTGTGCATATTTGAGGGCACAATTTGGTGTAGAATCTAGAGTGACCAGGCTCTTCCAACCAAGGCCTTACAGAGGAACATCTTGAAAATATTCCTTAGCGTTGAGGTGACAATGTTATATAACCTAACAATTGACATACTGTTAACAGCTTATAATAACTGTGATAATAAGAAAGCATGAGTTACAGATTTTATGTAAACACTCACTATGCATTTTATAGAGGTTTTATAATTGAGTAATAATTAAAAAAGAAAAGCATGTGCTATATAGCTCAAATACCAGCTCTTGTGAACAACATCTGTCGATTGGTGATAAACACTTACTGAAGAATTTTATTATAAAGGGCTACTTTTAAACATAAAGACAGTGAGGCTCTGAGATGTGAGAATTTGAATAGGAGTATATCACCATGCGTCAGCATTGTTAGGAATATCACAGTGCTGCCCGAGTTCCTAAAGAAAGAACAGGAATAGTTTACTGTATGCTTCGTATCACTGCCCTTGTCAGTTTTGTTTTTTTAATTGCAAATGAAAGCACAGATTTTGCTAAGTTAAGCATTCCATTTACAGTACAGTTCTGTTTAACTGATAACAAAGTATTAAATACTGAATGTCTTTTTTTTTTTTTGAGAAAGAATATTCAAGCATGAGATTTATGCAAAATCATTTGTATGCAAAAGAAAATTGCAGTTGATGCTTGTTTCTCTTAATCCTGCTGTATCAGTAGTTTTGCAAAATTCTGATGAAATTTTTTGTCCTAAAGTAAATCACTGGTTGTACCACATGGGGATAGATTTTTGCTTCTGAGCATAATATCACTGTTCTTAATAGAGTTCAGGTATCCCAAATGTAACAATTTTTAAATTTTATATTAAATGGATATTATTAATTACCAGTCACTACTTTCTGAAGTTCCCAAGCTGAACACTCATTCTACTTAAAACACAACGAAATGTTGCAGGTTGTACTTCCCTGTACTTCATTGGGTTGCCGAATAAACTTATTGCACTGTATAAAGATTTCTTCATCTTTGGCACTGTTGGGCAGAAGTCATTCACTCCCACTTTCGTAATTGAATTAGAATGAAGGAAGATTATCTGTTGTAGTAGGAAAGGGATGGATTTAGAATACACAGTAAATGTAAAAAGAAGATTCTCTATTTATAGTTCATGGGTTTATTTTACACTGATTTCTATGTATTTCACTTAAAATACATGTACTCATTTATGATGGTAAATAATTTAACAGCTCAGGTTCATATGCTATATACAGACGTATTGTGTTTGTGAATGAAGTGTGCTGTGGACTCATGCACACCACCTGCTCAGCACCACTCCTTTTCAAGACACAGCTGTAGGCGTGTGTGCGTGCCTGTGTGCGTGTGTGGTCTCTTCATTGCCACAGGTACAGTACTGTGTTTTAAAAGTGTTAGAAATGAGCAGAAGAATGGAATGGAATTAGACCTGCAATATAAATGTGAAGAATTGTTAACATTTTCTGTGATCAAGGGAGAGAAGTGGAGAGCTGCTTTTTTGTAAGTTTTTTTATAGAAAACAAACTTATCGACATCTTAAATACGTATCTGTAATATGTCATCAATAGTTGAATCTTTATTTTCACTAGTGGACAAAATACAATTTTATAGGCTGTCTATATGTCTTTAGATTAAATTATTACTCGGTGGACAAAATGGAAATTTCCCTTCATTCCCTTTAACATCCCTTTAAATTCCTTCTTTGGTCTTTTTTTGGCAACTGAGATTTCTGTGAAGTAAAAACAACCTATTAACCGACCAGAAAGCATTTTGGCATATAAAAATGTAGGAGCATTTTGGTTCTGGCTGTTATCTAGATTCTGCCTTTACGTCTTGGTGAGATTGATCTGAGCCAGTTACAAGAACTCTAGGCATTACTAAAACCTTTAAGTTTGGTGTTGGAGTCTCCTGTGCCCTCTGTTGTGGGGATTTTGTGACAGATGCTTTCTGGAATTCCTTTGCATTTCCTGCAGCTCAGTGTCAGCTCAAGGGGTAGTTCACAGCACTGGCCTTGTTGGGAGTAGGAAACAATGCTGGGCATGGGTCTCTTTGCTTTGTGGACATTCACTGAATTGTGCCGTTATGACTTGTGTTCTTTGTGTTACAATTTTATTTTATTATTATTATTTTTTAATGCTAGCAAGAGTATGGGTAGATTTAAGAGCTTCCAGAATCTGGGATCAGAGTTGTGGAGTTAAGTATGTAAAGATGGGACAGCTGGAGAGAGGAGAGGCTCAGATCCTGCTCATGCTTGCTCCTTAACAATACACATGTAAATGTGGCATTTGAAAAAGTCAAAGCAAAAGTTGTAACCTTGAGATGAAAGATGAACACCCGCGTATGGCATGTCCATATTGATGGCTTGTATCTCAAAGGAGTGTAGTTAACAAAACTTGCTTATAGATAAATAGGAAAGAAATCTAGAGGCAAGTAGCTCAAAGCCCAGCTTTGTTCTCAGTATGTTTTTGCTTCTTGGAAGATGAGAACATTCTACAGCAAGGAAGGCATATGAGAAAAAGGGAGTAAAGTGAGAGGGGGTTAAGTAGGGATTCTTAATTTGATGTCCGTAGATGAGAATCAGGGAGATCTGTGATACTTTCAAAATTGTGTGCAAAATATTGTCTTCATTTTTTGTTCTTGGGAAGATCTTTATGCGATTATCCAAGGACTCTCTGGCCCCTCCCAGGTAAGTCAGGAGTTGCCAAATTAGAGAGAAAAGATTTCTAATAATGAAGAGCAAAAAATGTGAACCTATGATGTTCTAAATACTGACTTTTGATTTTATATTCTGGCCTGAATTTTTAAAAAAGCGTACACACTTCTAGTCTAGCACCACATTGGTAATGAAAATACCTAGGACCTCGTCTGCACGGTCTGCCTTCATGAAATGTTTTCAGAGTGAAAGGATATGTGAGCCTACTTGGTTTCCTCCTGACCAGTCCTGCCTTTGTGTAGCCACTGCCACCCCAGTACCTCTGCTGCAGTGGCCTTAGCAGTTTCAGTAGGAAAAAGGGAAGGGTGGAAATGGGTGCCTGAGTGTTTTAGCTGATGTTTCTGTAGAAACCTTTCTCCTAATGCTCTCCTACTTTACCCTTGCTACTTGCTTGGTCTTTGCTTTAGGTATAATAGGTTGCATAAAAAGAAAGAAGAGTACTAATATCTACAAAACACACAAGTAGAATGTTTTACCTGGAGGTATTTCAACTCCTGTAATCCTGAAGGGATTTTTTTTAGTTTATTGTTTTCCAAGTGTATTTCTCTTATTCGTGGTATGTTAGCAAGACTCCCATTTTCGATTTCTGTGATTCTGTTGTTTCCTAGGCCCAGCCTAAAAATGATACAAAATTCATCAACTGTTAAGCAGATGGTGTGATACAGTTAGCTGAAAACACAACTGAGTTAGAAATATAAACATGTCCTGTTTATATTTGTGGTCGGAGAAAGGTATTTCATGGTTTTATTTGACAACCATGGTTTTATTTAATAGCCCTCTCATCCAGTGTCAGAAAATCCTTTATGTAACCTGTATTTTAAGAAAGGTACATTTGATAAATGTCTTGTGCCCTGGACAGCTTGGCCTGCACACCAGAGGGTCATGGGTTTGATTCCAGCCAAGGGCATGTTTCAGGTTTGATCCCCAGGTCGAGGCACATGCAGGTGGCAACCAGTTGATGTCTCTCTCTCTCCTGTCTCTCTCCCCCTTCCCTCTCCCACACACTCTAAAAATCAGTGGAAAAAATATCCTCACTTCTTGGGTAAGGATTAAAAAAAATCAGGAAAAGAAAAGTGTTTACACCCTGTTGGGTGGCCTTGTTCATCGTCAAGGCAGACGAACACAGTCCTTCCGTCTCCCCTCACATGCCCCGCAGCAACAGGGTCCTTTCGCTTAGGTCTCTGTATGCCTCCGGGGAATGTCATTAATGTCTTCATCATGTAGGCTACTACTTGTAAGTAAGGATTTGGGGAACTTTTACCTTTGCAGATCTTTGTATCGTTTAAAATCCTCGAGTTCCACAGTTGAAATTTTATTGTAATCTAAATGAAGCTCTAATAAAGTTGACGGTAGTTCTAATAAGGAAAGAAATGTATGTTAGATCAAGTAAGGTCAAGCCCCATTGATTATTTACTTGTTAAGTTTCACATTATAGACTCAGGTAATTTTTTAGGACTCTGCTTTTTAAGTACTTTTTATTATGAAGAATCTCAAACATATGCAAAAATGGAAGCTAGTATTTTGAATCATCCTGCTCTTGCCAAGCTTCAACAGTCCTCTTGATTTCCCCAGTCTTGTTTTATCTCCCCCGTTAGTTATTGGTTATTATTATTGTTTCGTCTACCCCACTGTTAAAGATTATTGGTTTTTGGGGTGACGGTTAGTGAAATTAAATCGGTTTCAACTGTACAATTCTATAATACAACATCTGTGTATTGTATCGTGTGCTCACCACCCAAAGTCAAGTCTCCTCCATCACCACTTACTTACCTCTACCCTCTTCTACCTTCCCCCACCCCCTTCCCTCTGGTAGTCACCACATTGTTGTCCTTGCCTATTAGTTTTTTTGCTTGTTTGTTTTTGCTTAATCCCCTCACCTTTTTCATCCAGCCCCCCAACCTCCCTTCCCTGATTATTGATTATTAAAATTAGTTTATTTGTTTTTACTTATTCACTTGTTTTTTTGCTGATGTATTTAAAATTAAATTATATACATAATCATATTTTACCTGTACAGTCTTCAGTAGATGTCTCTAACTCATAAAGTCATCTTCTATTTATATAACCAATATCACATCTAACAGAATTAGTAACAATTATTTACTATCATCTAATACTCATTTCCCTGATGATCTCAAATACATTGTTGATTTGTTCAAGTCAGGATCCCAGTAAAGTTTACAGAGAACATTTATTTGGTTCTTAAAATATGTTCTCCTATTACATTCTCCCTCCATTTCTCCCTCTTCTGTTGCTTTGTTTCAAATATTGATTTGTTTGAGATACCCATATGTGGTAGTTTATCATGGTCCTCTAGCCCCCTTATTTCTAGCAGTTAGATTTAGAGGCAGGCCAGATTACACTCAGAAGGATCACTCTTCCACCTGATGGTCTTCTCACTCATTGATGACATTAGGAATGGGAACATGATGATTTCCCTGATTTTGTCATTCTTTAGGCATTTATTAGGTAGAATTCTTCTCTAAAAAATTTTTCTTCATTAATTAGTTACTCTGTAATGTACTTTTACAGAAAAGCAGCATTAATGCTTGATTCTTTCAAGAAATGAATTAGTGCAATGCCCAGAGGTGACCAGTGAATTTTTTAAAAATATCATTATGAACACGTGGGATTTTACTCTGTCTGATACATTTGGTTCACTGCAGTATTTGTCCTTTTCAGTTAGTAGTAGTTTCTGCGTAAATGAAGAGAAACATCTCTTAACTGCTTCCTGTGCAAGCGCCACCTGGCGCGTGCCCTGTGAGTGTTTGCGCCTTCTGTTCCTGACCCTGTGTGCTCTGACCCCAGCCCTCCCCAGATTAATTGAAGCTGGAACGTAAGGGAGTAACCAGAAAAGTCAGTCAGACTTTATTTGATTAGTCCTATGTCGGACCTTGTATTATTTGTAATACTTAATATTAAAAATGTAAGGTATTATTTGTCAACCAAAGGTTCTAGGTAGCAAGCTGAGAAAAGAATTATATTTTTCAACTCTTGCTGAAACATTTCCTTCCTATATTAGTGGTAAAGACTGATGAAGGTGATCGAAGCATCTTTATAAATATCAGTATTCTTCATGGCTGAGTTTATGTTAATTCTGGAGTCTATTTTGAATCATGCGTACAAAACCGATAGGAAAGTTTCAGAGCGTGCCAGCCTGTTCTACAGCATGTCAGAGCAAGTCAGAGGAGAGAGAGATCTGTTCATGTTGAGGAGTCAGGGAAACTCCTGCGGTTTGCAGAGTTTGAAGGGACTTCTCCCCAGGGCCTGGAGAAGGTAGAAAGTGAGCAAAGGTATGAATTTGGGTAGCAGTCGTTGACTGCCAACAACTACCTGCATACTTTGATACAGACATTTTTCTTCCTGCCCTGCTCCAGACACGCCCCTCCTCACCCCACTCCACACTGTTATGAAGTAGAGTTTTCCAATCGAATAGGAAGGAAACGTGTCTCACTCTCTTCTTGTTACCTTGTCAGGTCTGGTGAGGGCTCTGGTCCTAGTTCATCCTGCCACAGGGGGTGGTAATGGTTGAATTATAACATTTAGGCAGTCAGCCTTAATATTTTAATTTTTTTTTAGTTGATTTTAGAGAGAGGAAGGGGGGAGGAGAGAGAAACATCGACCTGTTGCCCCACCCACCCATGCATTCATTGGTTTTTTCTTGTATGTGCACTGACCAGAGATGGAACTTACTACCTTGGCATATCGGGACAATGCTTTAACCAACCGAGCTACCCAGCCAGGGCTAGCCTTAACATGTTAGCAAATAAGTTACAAAACAAAAAACTTAACTGGAGTTTTAATATCCTAGGGACCTCGAAGGAGTAAGTTGAGAGATTTTATTCCAGTTTAAATTGGAATCTTCCTTTAGGCTTTGGAAAAATCTTGAGAAGTTAAACCTTCATTTTAAAGATGCACTTTGAAACTTGAAGAGAATTGCAGTCAGTATGTTTTGCATTGTAGAAAAGTGCTGGTGCAAATCTAAAGAGCAGGGGCAGTCTCCGGTTGTTGGAGCCACACCCTCCTTCAGCACCTCCTCTCCTCAGCCTGCCCGCCTGCCGTCCTGCCCTCTGCTTGTTCCCTCTTACCCTGTGTTAGCTTCCAGCATATGGAAGGAATTTTATGTATTTAACTTGTTAGGTAGAGTTGGTAGTTTTGTTGTTCTTAAAGATGAGAAGGTAAATATGTGTAAAATTTTAGAAAAAGTCACCTCCTTGAATGCTGAATTAAGGTGGGTCTTTAATTGTGTAGTTCTGAATTAAACTGAATTTTTTCTGTATAAAAAATTTTCCCCTTTTACAGGTAAATTTAGATGATTTTTCTTCTATGCAAAAGATCATTACTTTAATAATAGCTGCCCTGCTGTATTTTTTAACTGATAAGTTTATGTTTTATTAATTTTCTGGATGAGATGGGTGGTAGAAAAAGGTTTATGGTGAAGTTGCTGCTTTTACTGTGGATGCTGAAAGGCAGAGCCATGTGGGAGAAAAACATGTCATTAACCCTAGGGCTTATTTCTGATCCAGGTAGTTGGCATAGCAGAGAGGGAGAATGCCCTTCCTTGTCAGGGAGGAGGAAGGCAAGAATGAGCATGGGTCCTGAGGGGGGTAATCCTCTCCAGATGATCACCAGACTAGGAGCGTGGAGTAATGCAGTGGCAAATTGGTCCAGTGGCAAACTTAAGAAGCATTTTACTTGGAGGCGCCAGCTTCAGGTCGCATGATAGTGTGGTACTCATTCTGGTAACAGTTATGTCACAAGAGGGTATTTCCCAGGTCCCCAACCTTGTCCTCAGGCCTTTCTGTGCATTGACTCATTATCTGCACAGTGACCCTGTGGGCACAAACGAGCACCGTGCCCAAGTTTGTACTCATCCCTGCCAGAGCCAGTCTGTCCTGGCCAGGCCGCACGGGGCCACCCTGCAAACCACAGCTGCGTGCCTGGGGCGGGAGTCCGTCGCCCTGTGCATTTTCCTCTGCTTTCTTTCCTACAGAATTCTCACCTCTAACAGGTACTTTACATGATGACAAAGTATAGGTGAGTAAATATCAGGAAAGAAACGGAAAATTAGACATTTATTTCTTCTTAATGTTTGTTACTCACTGGGGAAAAGAAGATTCTTGTTTCTTACTGACCAAAAAAAAAGGACTACCTATGGCTCTTTATGGTGTTCATGAGAAAACACTCAATTTCATACTACACTGACCAGATACACTGGTAAAAAGGATTTTAATTACGGTGTGGTTTTTACAGTGTATACAGTTTACAACATTACATTTAATTACCATTTAAGGTTGGCATTAAAAAAATACTTAAAGTTAACACAAACCTTTAGGAATTGAGGTCAGTTTTGCTTCTGCAATTCTGATATGGAAGACTGTCACCCCTTCAAATGCCCCTGGCTCGATCCCGTTACTCTCAAGAGGGTTTGCACTCATTTCTGTGGGGAGATAACATAATTTAGTAAATGTGTGGTATAAGAAGGAAGGAGCATTGCTAGACTGCTTCACTCAGTCTCTCTGTTTCTGTGTCTCACTCCTTATCTTTCTGTCGGTCTCAGAAAAAGATTGCTTTGTATTACGTAGGTTGGAATATAATATAATAACAGATTTGCCATTTTGCTTTAAATCAATAACTTATTCTCTTCCAACTATAAGCATGATTAAAGACTAACTGTAGTAATATTACTTTAGAAAAATCACCCTTGATGTAATTCAAAATATTTGTGTTTGCCAGTGTACATTAGTTTGTTACCTAAACTTTTAAAATTATAAGTCAATTATAAATTGTTACTTGATAAACAGAAAAATAACTGAGGAAATGCCAGTAAGTGAGACTATTTGGTAAGTGCCAGGCACTTGGCTGAATTAAATAAGTGAATAAATGAATGAGAATGTTGTTCAGGAATTTTGAATGGATAGTGAATGGGGAGATGGCATAGGTATTCCATGGGTGTTAGAAGAAAAATAGGGTGGGCCCTGGCTGGTTTGGCTCAGTGGTTAGAGCGTTGGCCTGTGGACTGAAGGGTCCCAGGTTTGACTCCAGCCAAAGGCACGTACCTCGGTGACAGGCTCAGTCCCTGGCCCCTGTCGGGGGGTGTGTGGGAGGCAGCCAATCAATGTTCCTC